ATCTTGGAAATAGTATCAAATTAATACATGAAACAACGTCTCTGTAATAAAACCGTGTCAATACAGTTAACATTATCCTGATAATGCAATTAGCATCTATAGAATCATGACCCGTGACGTGTTTAACCTCCAACTAAAGTTCCATTATTTTCTATCTCTCAGTCAATAAAACTAAGACCCTTCACATATTTAACTATCAGCTACAGTTACTACATTTTCAATATTTCCAAGTCTATAGAAATATGACCCGTGACACACTTAATCTACAGCTACAGTTCCATTACAGTGTCTTTAAGGTATAGAAATATGACCCGTGTCACACTTAATCTACAGCTACAGTTCCATTACAGTGTCTTTAAGGTATAAAAACACTACCCGTGACACACTTAATCTACAGCTACAGTTCCATTACAGTGTCTTTAAGGTATAGAAACACGACCCGTAGCATATTTAATCTACAGCTACAGTTCCATTACTTTCAATATCTGTAAGTCTATATAAACATGACCCGTGACTTATTTTACTTACAGTTACAGTTACTTTATTTGCAATATCTTTAAAGCTTAGAAACTCTGCACGTTATATAATTAACTTACACCTACAGTCACTTATTTTCAATATCTCTAAATGTATAGAAACATGACCCGTGACATTTCCAAGTTACAGCCTCAGTTTCGTTAATTTCAATATCTCTAAATGTATAGAAACATGACCCGTGACATTTCCAAGTTACAGCCTCAGTTTCGTTACTTTCAATATCTCTAAGTCTATAGAAACATGACCCGTGACATTTCCAAGTTACAGCTTCAGTTTCGTTACTTTCAATATCTCTAAGTCTATAGAAACATGACCCGTGACATTTCCAAGTTACAGCTTCAGTTTCGTTACTTTCAATATCTCTAAGTCTATAGAAACATGACCCGTGACATTTCCAAGTTACAGCTTCAGTTTCGTTACTTTCAATATCTCTAAGTCTATGGAAACATGACCCGTGACATTTCCAAGTTACAGCCTCAGTTTCGTTACTTTCAATATCTCTAAATGTATAGAAACATGACCCGTGACATTTCCAAGTTACAGCTTCAGTTTCGTTACTTTCAATATCTCTAAGTCTATGGAAACATGACCCGTGACATTTCCAAGTTACAGCTTCAGTTTCGTTACTTTCAATATCTCTAAGTCTATGGAAACATGACCCGTGACATATTTAACTTACAGCTAAAGTTCCGTTATTTTCAACATCTTTAAGTTATGTAAATATCACCCGTGACATATTTTGCTTACAGCTACAATTCCGTTACATTCAATATCTCTAAGTCTATAGAAACATTACCCGTGACGTATTTGACTTATAGCCACAGTTCCGTTACTTTCAATATCTATAAGTCTATGGGAACATGACCTGTGACATATTAACCCCACACCTACAGTCTCAATATTTTCAATATCTCCGAGTCTATGGAAACAATACCCGAGACATATTTAGCTCACAGTTACAGTTCCGTTACTTTCAATATCTATAAGTCTATGGGAACATAACCCGTTACCTATTTAACTTACAGTTACAGTTCCGTTGCTTTCAGTATCTATAATTCTATGGGAACATAACCCGTTACCTATTTAACTTACAGTTACAGTTCCGTTACTTTCAATATCTATAAGTCTATGGGAACATAACCCGTTACCTATTTAACTTACAGTTACAATTCCGTTACTTTCAATATCTATAAGTCTATGGGAACATAACCCGTTACCTATT